TGCAACAGAGATTTACAGGGTAAAGGAAATGCTTTATAATCTGAATCAGCAGTGATCACACAACTGTATATAGTATACAGTTGTTAAAACACATCATACTCATGAACTTAAATTGTCTGATTTTATAACAGTTAAACTGTATCTCAAATATGAATTTTAAAATATAAAGAACTTATAAAACTAGAACTGAAGGGAGAAAAAACCAAAATGTATATATACATGGCATATTTTCAGTGTAAAGAACCAGAAAATAAATCAACATAAAAATCTAATCTTACCCAATAAAATAATATATAAATCTAATAACCATTCATAATAGCCATTCATTTTAGGTGACTGGGGTGTCTTAAAAATATTTAAATATTATTTTTGTATATGTAATACATGCACATATGTATGTCAGTATGTATACATATAATATACAATATAACAGAGTCTGCACTATTCTGTTTTCTGTTGTTATCTGTATATAGCGAGCAGCTTTATACTCACCAAAAAAAATCTTTTTGGGCAGAGCTAGGGAAGGGATAGCTACAAAGTACTTCAAATAATCTCACAATTTCTACCTTAGCTCAATGAAATGGTACTTTAATAAAGCTTACAAACTTACAAACTACATGTTCTAATATCTGAGATCACACATTTTTATCTCTCATGGCTGAGGTTAATTACTACTAATATTCTGGTAACACTGGGAAAGCAAAAATGTGGAACAAACATGTAATCTACATCTGGTATTATGATTAATGGATTAAAAATATATTTTCACAAATTTTAAATATCATTACAATGAAATTTATAATTCAGGTAGTCATGCTACCCTAACTGAAAAGTAATGTAGGCCTTTAGGCTTATTTTAGTGTTAATGGTCTCTTTTCAGGTCCTCTAAACTGAAGATCTTTTCATCATTTCTTAACCTTTTTTGTTAACAAAAGACCTGGGATGGTCAGTCTTTTTTGGAAGAGGGGATTCTTTCTGAAGAATAATGACTATACTCTAAGAGTCAAGGACAGCAAAAAGATCCCAGTGTGTATCCCTGTGCAAAATCTTAAGTGAAAGAATACTCTTTTAACTCTCCTAAACATTTTCAGAACACAGGAGCTCTGTCTTATTAAAGCTTGATAAAAATAAATTCCATTCTCTCCACCAGAAAAACCTTACTTTTCTTTCTAGATTTTCTGTGTTGGCCACCAGCACTGCCACACTTCAATAACTCTAAATGACCATCCTTCACCCTTTTCTCTTTATTAATATTCAATAGAATAAATTCAATAGAATAAATTCAATAGAATATTGAATATTCAATAGAATGTCAAGTATTACCAAAGGTATTTTTTTGCTAACCTTCAAATATGCTTTCATTTTCCAAAATTCTCAATTCAAGTCATCATTACAATGGCCTCTTACCTGGTCTTTCTACTTCATGTGCTCGCTTCGGCAGCACATATACCTGGTCTTTCTACTTCATCTCACACTCAGCTTGCATATTTAAGCTTTCCAGAACAGACACGACCATCTCACTTTGCTGTAACAAAGACCTTAATTAAACCTCTACTCTTAGAAGAATCAAGTGTGAAATTTTTCATTGCCATGAGGAAGGCAACATGGTACAGACAGAATAGTGTAAAGGTCTTTGAGCTGATCGACCTGTGTTTAAAATTTGACTTCGCAAGTAATTTAAATGTCTTTGAAACTCCAATTTCCTTTCACTGAATAGAGACCACCCACACACTCAAAATTCAGTATGGTCTATGGAGAAAGAAGCATCAACATCACCAGGTAACATGTTAGAAATGCATACCCACAGAAACCTGATTCAAAGTGTTTATAGCATTCCCAGGTGATTAAAGTTTGAGATTTACCACAGACTGTTGCATGAATTAAACTGAATGTTATGAAGTTCCTGGCATGGAGGAGGTAGTCAATAAGTGTTACCAGTTATCCTATTTTCTTTTCCCCTTTCCAAATCTTTGCTCATCCTGGATCCTTTTGCCTGTAATGTATTTCTCACCTCCCAAATTATTGAAATTTTGTTCATGCTTAAGTATGAGGTTTAATGTTACTGTCTGTGTGAAGCCTTCTACATTCTTCATTAACCTGAGAAAAACTTTTTTTTCACTTGCTAATTTTCATGTTTTATGCTGGTGAACATGTTTCTCTTGCTATATTATAGGGTTTTAAAAGCAGGGTCACTGTATGATTACTCTATTTCCTAGAATTTAATCAGTGCCATATGTTTTTTTTTTTTTTTTTTGGTTTTTTTTCCGGTACTGGGAACCGAACTCACTACCTTGCGCTTGCCAGGCAGGCGCTTTGCCGCTGAGCTAAATCCCCAGCCCCAGTGCCATATGTTTTGAAGATTCTTGATAATTAAGTTTACTAAGAACAGAAAAAAAAAAAGAGCAGGTACATCTATGACATCAAACTCTCAAATTACATATAAAATTGTTAGGTGCTTGTGTACCTTCTAGAATTTTAAATGTCAGTTCTTATGAAGAATCATTTAATTGAGTTTATTATAGCAGGGTTCACAACACATAGGCAATTAGCTTCGTGAAAACCATATTGTGTGGTTAGTGAATATACTGTATGCTTAATTGGAAGGCATGTTACAAATGTGCAGTGTTTGATAATAGAAAGACAATATAGTTAGTTGGAACACTTTAAAACATGAACTCTGAATTCTTCCTGTTAAATACTTTGGAAAATTACTTAATCTCTATGTGCTTCAGTTTCCTTATATGACTGTACTCATGACCAGTGAGGCTGTGAAGAATGAAGTATGTGTAAAGTGGTGAGAACAGAATCAAGTATACAATAACCACTCAATATATGATAGCTATTATTATTAATGCGAACTATCTTCATTATTTTGAAAATCTGGAGCATTCACTAATGAGGAAATCACCACCTCTATTAACTTCAAAGATATGACTCCTCCTTCACATGGCACCAAAATTATGATTTCTTAAACAATACTTTTCTTGAGAGATTCAAAGTAACTTTTCAAGTATCACTCAACTAATTATTTCAGAGTCCTGGGAGTTAATCTGGGATCATACATGTATAGGTAAGGAAAGTGGATAATGAGCGAGCAAGCTGTCTAAGACAAGAAAGAAGGTAAAAGGAAAAGAACTTCTGATATAGTTTTTCCATCTTCCAGATGAGTTAATTCATGAAGGCATTCTGTAAAATTCCAGAATCTAATCTGTCCCCTTAAGATTTCCTTCCAGTTAGAACCTGAAAAGGTCATCAACCTCTTTAGACTCCTTTTTCACTTTTCTGCCTCTAGCAGTGAGGGGTCAAATTAAGATTAAATGATTTGGAATTTCACATCGAGAATTATATACTAGAAATCATCAGAACTCAATGATATGACAGATCTGCAAACTGTGATTCAGAGAATTAAAATTGCTTAGCTGAAGTCAACACCAAATAATATAGCTAATTCTACAATCCTGTGGTGGCGGGGAATCAGTGTGCATCTACATAAAAAGTAAATGACTTAGCTGAAGTAAATAAGCAGGTAAAGTTAATTAGCAATATAGCATTTATGAAATTATGTAACATTTTAAAACATGTTATACATGATAAATACAATTTTCTTGTCAATTAATAAACAGAAGTAAGCCAGGCATGGTGGCATATGCCTGAAATCCCAGCACTTGGGAGGGTGAGGCAGAAGGATCACCATGAGTTTGAGGCCCGCCTGGGCTACTTATATAAGTAAGTTCAAGGCCAGCCTATACCACACAGCGAGACTCTATCTCAAAAACCAAAAATAACAACAATAACTAAAACCAAAACAACAGAAGTAAATTTAAAATTTCAAAGACTGAAAATAAAAGATTCATCGAAATACTGGTTAAGAGTTTCTAAGACTTCAAATAAAAAGGTGTAACATTTAAGTCACATATCATATTTAAGTTTAAATATGACCTTCAAATAAAAAGTTACAACCTACTCGCAAAAGTATAAAAAACCTCTGTAATGCGTAATGAAAGGGAACCTTAAACCACAGATACTAAAAGATGGTTCTTTTTTTTTTTTTTTTTTTGGTACCAGGAATCAAGCTCGGACCTTGCACTTGCCAGGCAGGTGCTGTGCCACTGAGCTATATCCCTCGCCCTAAAAGATGGTTCTATGGACCCACAAAAGTAGTTGTTTTTATTTTAGGGATCATTAACATAAAGAAGTCACTTTTCAGATTTGCTTGAAGCAAATCTGAAACATGCTTGGTCCATTAAAAATAAAATATAACCAATTCATATAACCCATATAAATAGTTCACAGTAAATAAAAAATATACTACCTTATCCACCAAATCAACATTAAAGACATTTAGCTTAAATAACTTAAAAACTAGCATGATGTAGAGTAGAAGATGAACAGATAAGAAACAAAATAAAACCATTCTGAATTTTCAAATACTGTCATACTTTCCAAATTGATTTACCTATTTTTTTTGGAAGACAGTGTGCTCCTATATTAACATGGTAATTTAAGTAGATTCTGAACATCCTCTCTGAAAAATAATCAGAACCTCAATGGAAAGGAATCTAAAAAGAAGGCAAAACACAGAGCACTTAGAAGCACAAGGTATGGAGCTGGGCTACTGCTGTGTCCCAATGTTTTGGTAAGACTTCTCTCAGTGTCTTGTGTTCTTCTACCTCCTGAATTTTCTCTAAAAACAATTTAAGATTTTTTTTATACCCCCTTGATTTTACAGATTCTTCTGTTTTTAAGAGACAAACAGTGGTATTTTAATGCTGGGATAAGTAATATTTTCAACCTAGAATACACTGTAGGTTCCAATTAGATTCTGAAATTTCAGATTTTTGAGTGACAATCTATTCAAATGCTTTCGAACATGCTCATAATCAGGACATGAATTACCAATGGATCCATATGTTAACGCACTTTCAACATGTATAATTTATACGGAAGCATTAGAAACTATTAAATAGAAAAACTATTGATATAAATAGCTTACACAGTACCTTTTGATAAACAATGGAGCACACAAGATCCTTGACAGCAGATAAAGACAGTTCCTGGGCTTCAATGGTAACACTCTCCCGTGTGAGGCCAATCTGCAGTAGAAATGAAACTGTATGCACAGAGCCTCTGGAGTTGTTGAGGGACGGTGCGCTGAAGCTGCCATTAGATAGTCGGGCAGAGAATCCTGTCTTAGGACTTGAACATGGAGAAGTTGGAAGCACAGCAGGAATCGTTCCAGGTAATACAGACTTCTGGGCTGATGGAGGGGAATTATTTGCAGACATCTGCCTTTCTTTAATCTTTAAAAATAGTTGTCAATTCTTTTTAAATGGTTATATAGAGATTTTCAAAATAAGAGCAGCTCAAAAGTGACTGTACTTTTGGATTTAGATGAAAGTTGATTTATTTCCTCTAGTAAGCCACTCATTCCAATGATAACAAATTCTGTCCCTGTGGTTTGAGTGAATGAGAGGTCCTACTTCTTTTAGTGAGTCCCATCAAAAGAGTCTTGTCTTTAGGACCAAAACCAGGAATCTGTGAAGGATTTCACATCATTGACTTATCTTCATGAAAATAATAGTTGACATTGCTTATTTACTATACTAATATCTTCATCTATTTTCTTTTAAGCCTGTTTTTGTCTCTCAAATTTCATTTCAGAAAACAAAGTTCTTTTCCTCTCAAGATGAAATCTTCCTGGGTGAAAAACAGCATTTGGCTTTAATCTATTCAATATTTATTCTTTGGTTCAACGATTTGATGGAATACCTTAATATCTACTACTTAAATCAGCCTCTCAAATGTCCTCATTTTCATTTTGGGGGTGAAATTTTTCTATGATGAGATAAAAAGCTTTTACAAATAGTACAAGCATATTTCATTTGATGAATGGGTCCATCAAGAAAGGTTGATGCTTTGTGAAATGCTGTCAGCCTAGAAGGAATTTTCAAAAAGGCTTTTAATACTTTACATTCACTTGACAATTTAAAAATACAAGAATCCCTACAGCTTTTAAATGATAATTTTTGGTTATATATTCATATTTCACTAATATATCCTAATAGGTAGCCATTTTTCAATCAACTTTTTTATGACAGATAATAATAATTTCATACAGAGCCTCCTGCTTCAAAAAATATTCCTGGTATTACTTAGTAACTTGTAAAACTTGAACAAAATTTAAGTTAATGAAGCATAAACATTTTTATTACATATTATACAACTAAATTATGACAAAAATAGAGAAAACAGAAGGAACAAAAAAGTAAAACTGTCATCATCACAGATATAAAATATGTACCATCCAGCCATATAAAATTTGTATAATATAGCAAAGAGTACTTCTTAAAATATATACCAAAAGTCTAATTCTACCAAAATATGACTTCTGACTTGCTTTATTAAAAAAATCCTTTGAGAAAGCTAAGGAAGCAGGAGGGCCAGACCATTGGTTATGTAGCCAATAAAAAAAGTATGAAAGTAGACCTATTTATGATACGAACTTGCAAGTGACCTCATCGTAAGGGATCTCTAGCAGCAGGAAAGAGGACACTATCAATAGTGAAAGCACAATTCAAAAAGAAAAGGGTATGAAAGTATGACCCTAGATGGCTAAGTGAAATGACTTACAAGAGATGGATCCTTTTAAATGTTATCTATGTACCTATAAAGAACGCCAAGGATGAAAAAGTGAAACATTCTGTATGACTGTTAAGTGACTCTCTGAAAAGAAGTTAATGGGGCTAAATTAAGATGAGTATGACAAAAGAGCAAAAAATAAAAATACAGTGGTATTAAAAACGAGAAAAGGTAGAAAAACTGTTTAACGATAAAAGCATTTAGAGTTATTTTCAAGTAAGTTACTATTATTTCATCTTACATTGTACAGCACTTGGTAGTTTTATGAATGTTTCACATTCTTTATCTCTTGATACTTCTTTGAGTTGACAGGAAAATACTACCATTTTTGCAGATGAATACACCAAAGCACACGTAGTAAAGCAACTTAACACCTGCCTATGAAGTGGTGCAGTGGGAATCAGAACTCAGGTTTCATACTTTGTTACCCACTACTGTCTCCACAATAACATACTATTTCTCGAAGAGAACAAGGAACTGAGAATCACTGCTCAGAGAGGATGTTGCTAAGGTTGAGAGATCATACAGAGACAAAATTGCTCAACTTCTATTTGCTTATTTTCTCTAACTGTTTTTGAATAAAGCTGCAGAAAAGTACTGAGAACTGAAACTTGGGTTTCATGAATATGAGAGACTGAAATGATTTCATGCAAGTTCAAGTCTCTGGGCCTAGACAAACTCATTTCCATCCAGCTATAGCAGTGAGCAAGTGTTGTTACTAAGCTGAATCCAAAAATGTTGGAGAAAGAACTCAGATCAAAGAAGTGATCGTGACTTCAAGTTAGGCAGGGTTTCTTGAAGTACTGAGGGCTGGAGAAGTGGGTGAGTAAACTTCAGAAATTAGATATTTATGTCAGTAAATCCATAAAATAAATTTAAGAATAGATTATGAAGCAAATGGTTTGTGAACAGAGAATATAATGATCATTAAATGTCAACCTGAATTCAAACCAAAGAAGTAATGCCAAGTCCACTACACTTTCAACCTGGAAAAGAGTAACTGTTAGACTTCTCAGATAAAAGAAAGCATAATAGTTTACATCCACTGAGCTCTTACTACCTGCCAGACAGTGTTTTAAGCACTTTGTACTATCTCATTTAATCCTCACAACAAGCCATTTTACAGTTGAGGAAACAGAAGTTCAGAGCTTAAAGGACTTGCCCAAAACCACTAGTTAGCAAAGCCACAGTGCGTGCGCGCGCGGGTGTGTGTGTGTGTGTGTGTGTGTGTACATGCATAAGTGTTTGGAAGTAGGGACAGGTGTATTCTGGCAGGAACGGTATTTGGAATGATTTGCCATCTATCTGTAATATGTTGCTTAAGTGAGTTGCAAGTTAGTGCAACTGGGAAACTGTCAATTTAAATAAGGAAAGACTTCAGGGTAGACATTGGAATTCTGTGCTTAACCTTTTTTTTTTCTTTATTATGTATGAGGTAATAAAAACACAAATGATATGCTTATAAAAATCTTCAGGCTGAAGAAACCCAGGAGAAATAAACTAAAATTAAAGTGAAACCTTACAAGGATAAATGTAAACCTCTGCATTTAGTTTCATCAAGTTCAATGTGCAAGGAACAAATGGGGAAATGCTGACTTGGAAGCTATTCATGAGTGTGAGTTATGAACCCAAGAGCTTAACATGAGCTGTTAATAGGTGACTAAAATAATTAATACAAACCTAAATCCTCTAGGCACTGAGAATCCATCACTATCAATCTGTACGTTTATTATTAGTTGGCTTACATAAATATTATGTTTATTTCTATGGTCTACATTTTTGGAGCTATAGATTTTTAGACTGGGGGTGGGGAACACATATAAAGATGAAAGAAATGTACGATAAATAATTGTATGTGCTTAATAAAATCAAATGGAATAAGCGGTCTTCAAATATATGAAGAATGTTAATAGAAGAATTGGTTTTATTCAATATTACTGCAGAAAGGAGCAGCGAAGATGAGAGCACTAACTACATTCATCACCAATATGGTAAGGACTGAGCTTTTGCATGTAAAGTCCCTGTCTAGAACAGTACCTGGCATACAGTAACTGTTCAAACTGTTCAATAAATTTTAGCTATTTTTAAAGGAATTAGATAAAAGAACTAACAAGACTCCATCTGCTTTATGCTAAACCCTGCAAGTGAGATGTGATCCTTCATTAAATCCTTGTATTACCCCCAAGAGATTTAGTTCTGTTTTACAGAAATGGAACCAGAGGTTTTTTTTATTGACGACAACTACATAGTTAATAAGTGATGGAACCAACTTAAAGTATCCCCAACTCCAAATCCTTTGTTCTTTCTACTATTTCTTTCCACACAGAACAACCTAACAACCTAACGAACACCTCAATTCTAATGAGATGAGGCCATGTCATTAGAGAATAAGCTTTGTAACTTACCTAACTTGAGTAGATGTAAAAATATGAACTATCATAATAAAATAGTAAAATACCTATGATTAATTTTGTATGGAAATTCTTCAAAATATACTGCTGTGTTAAATAGTAATAATTTGTTTTGACAGATGTCTGCCCATGAAATCTCTATTATGCCAATTAATATTAATCAAATAAGTCATGTCTAATAATACAGTTGACTAATTTATCAGAACTAATGATAATTTCATAATAAGCTATATATAAGTGTGTTTAAAAGTGTTTGTTTATAGTTTCAGCATAAACACAAATATAAGAAACCAAGATATTATCATATTAGTTTTTAACATTCATCCTATCTGTTTCCCCTCTCCTGATTTTATGTTACCTTGATTTGCTCTGTAAGGTGCAATAAAATATAGAATGCAAAATATTAAGACTGAGTATTGAAAGAAATCTAACAACTTTATACGAACCTTTGTGTTGTTTACTTTTTGTCTTTATGTGTCTATTAGAAAATTCAGAATACAAAAAAAAAAAAAGAAAATTCAGAGTACATATTATGAATTTATCAGCTGTCTATCAATGAGAGGTTGTTTCTAACATGTATGAGAGAGGCTTACAATGATAATATTTTCTCCTTGCCAAGAATTTCTAATATATTTATTTGGAACACCTCAAATATTCTTTTGGGGAGCTATTATGTGTCCCATTCAAATGTGCTTACATATCTGTCACAATTGAAACAGAAATTATATTGAAAGAATAACAAAGTCTCTTATGCCCAGTTTGCCCATTTATTACACAGAAGGTGACAGAAGACTTGCATGAGGGTTTCTGATAATATTATAAGCAGATGTACCTATTCCCCCTCAGGTGCTTCCCTTCTCATCACTTAAATTTCTACCTTAACAAAGTCTCTAGTGAGGAGAACCTCTAACAACAGCACTTTCATTCAATGAATACTTAGTACGATTTATTAACCAGACCGCTATGAAAGATCCTAGAGTTATATTGCAGTGACAAAAAAGACAAGGGCCCTGCTCTCTCTGCAACTCACAGACATTAAACTAACATTTGTGTAAATAGTGAGGTAATTACAAACCATGAGAAGAGATATGACAGAGAATACTAAGAGGATTTAATTTCATCTGGGATCTCAAGGAATTCTTTTAAGAAAACAATATTTAAGCTGGGATCTTTGGCTAACTGGCAGTCGAAGAAATAGAGAGGGAAGAAGAGTCCAGGAAGACAAATCATACATAGTTATTAAACACTTCAAAAGAGAACTATTATTTAGTGTAACCAGCATTCTTTTTGCACATAGCAAAGGTGAAAGTGAAGATGTGAAATGCTTTTCTGTTTAGCACAGTATCTGCCATGATTCCACCAAAGAATATGTACCAGAAATACTAATGAGGTGGAGGGTTGTATCTCCCATCCCCATACTTGTATGTACATGTATTTTGTAAGTATATAATAAAGTGTGGGCCTTTTTCACTGCAATACTAACCACTGCACTTAAGCCAGCATTCATGTTCTGCTTTTGCTTAAAAATCCTAATGTTACTTTTATATCATATACTGTGTAAAAACTCAAATATATTTTAAAAGTCGTATTTTGTAGCAATACTTACAACTACTTATATATATTTTAAAAACATGACTATTACTTTAGATTAATACTCTCCCTCTTAAGAACTCAGCATCAAACTAAACTAATTCCTCTTAAATTCTACTCATCAGGGACAGTGACATCTGAATCTTAATTCTTCCACTGTCAGGCAGAGCGCTGAGAGGGAACATGATGTGTGCTTTCTGCTCAGGCCCTGAGAAGGATATCCAATAATAAGATTACAGACTGCCAGTCTGGCAATGCAATACAAATCTATGTTGAGTTTGATATATCTTCATC